CTTTTTATGCATGTCAACGGTCTGCAGGTCACAAACCCTCAAAGTACACACCTGGTAGCGGAGGTAAACTCTTAACACAGAAAACCTTGTATGCTGCCCCCCTCAGAACGCCTTTGCTTTGGAGATTCTCTTTTTTCTTCCTGGAGGTACGTGACGGGGCCAATCCGTGGAGGGGCTCCTCACACACACGCACACGCACACGCACACGCACACGCACACGACACACACACACACACCCACTCGTCCTGAAACTGTGACGCTAGTTTCAGCAACTTCCAATATTTACTAGTCGGCTAGGTTTTTTTTCAAAAATTAGTGTCGACTGAGTCGGGTTCGGTCATAAGTAGACCACCCGAGACGGTCTGCCTCACAACTGTTCTCTTCTTTGCGCACCCTATCCTCCAGTTACCCATCTCTCCACACCCACCTGCCTTCTCTCAACTTTGTCGTTACATGGCTGAGGTAAATAACAACAGTAACTGGACTCACCAAAATCGGCAGCAAAAACTCTAGTGTTTAAATAAATGCCACGGTAAATTCCCGTGGGCGGCACACTTATTCGCTGTCCTCCACGATCAGGTCCACCTTTTCGCATATTTTTGTTTGACCAACACGCACTCGCATGTGGAGGGGAAAGAAGGGCTTGGGAGCTTGTCGGGTGACAGGTGTGCCTGCCATTGGGAAAAACCATCTCACTCGGGGTGCTTAGTGGCATGGAATTAGCCACCCCCCCCCTGGTAGCTCCTCGAAAGCGGGGGAAGCCGGTGCCCAGTTTTCTGACACCACCACTCCGCTGGATCTATCCATTGTCGGGGATATTGCGGTGTTCCGCCTGGCAGTAATCCGTAGCTCATCATCCGCATTCACTGTTGACCGTGTTTTTCTTTGCTGTTCGTTCTCCTTGTTCAGTGCTGACGGCCGGTCCGTTGCTCACGTTGCTAGCATTACTGCTAGTGCTAGCTGTCCGGCAGCCGGCGTGTTTGCATCTTGTTAGGATGGTTTTTGTTTGCGATGCATTTGTTATTTGTACTTCTCTCAGTACAGCCTGTTTTTTCTGACACTTCACTGTGGTTGTTTGGAGTTCTTCGTTGTATTTGTTTGAAGTACTTGCCAATACATAAGAATGGTCGGACGTGTATTTGTAGCATTTTGCAGCCCACCTCGTTTACCTTCCACCTTTTTTTTCACGGACTAGGGCCCTACCGCGCGACTAGTGCCCTAAGCGTTTAGTCGATTAGTTGGTGAACCCTAATGACGCGCTATTGGGCCTCGCCAGTGACGAAACTGTGGCGCTGCGCTTCCTGTAGGTGGCCGCCGCGGTTTGCGGATGCAGGTGCTAGGGGAGACTCGCAGATTGGGGGTGCTGCAGCCCCCCTCGCAAACCCCCTTCCAGCGTCCATGGTGCTCAGGCTGAGTTTCGCGATGTCGCGCCGTCTCGCAGACCCCACGCAGCAACCAGGAAACGACACCAGTAATAGAGCTCACACTGTCCGCTCCTCGCAGTAGTGAGCCGCGCAACGTCTCGCCAACACGGCACCCAGACCCCACGAAGCATTCTCATCTGTTTGTCATTACTGGTGTCATTTTCTGGTTGCTAACGCCAGTGTAACACATAATCACTGATGTTCCGCTGTAGCGGTGGTGGACTCATCAGAACAGAGTGGGCAAGCTGACCAATCAGAGCACAGTGGGCTCATAGGGAGGGGGGGGCAGGAGCTCCAACAAGCCGTGTAGGACAGAGAGTGAATACACATACTATACAGAGATGCTGTTTGAGAAACCAATGTGAGTTTGGAACATTGAAGAATATAAATCTATTCTAGTAGACCTCAACAATGGAATTATGATCAGTAGCAATGGCCATGACATGGGACCTTTTAAGAATTTTTTTAATTGAGATTGAAGGTGTAGTTTTAGAGGTGTGAGACAAACTGTCTACTGTGAATACTTTACAAACAAAGCTCCTGATGTGTGATTTATTTGGCTGGTATCCACTTACTTATATTGTGGAAAGAAGATTAGCAGTCAGTGGATGTTATTAATGTGTTCATTTGGCCCATTCATTACGGCTACAAGACATTTTAGAAAGCTCTTTTTTGCCGCTACATCCTCATTCCCCATTTCTTATTTGGCCAGCCTTTCTCTGTGGTTTACACTTCTATGTATTCATGTTGTCTGCTTGTACTATTTCATTTGTACCTAATTTGCTGAATCATTTTCATATCTGTTCTTCCCCTCAGTGTCAGCAACAGCTTTCTACCGCGCTCAGCCTGTGATAGAGTTCATGTGCGAGGTGCTAGATATTCAGAACATCAACGAACAGACCAAACCACTAACTGACTCGCAGCGGGTCAAATTCACCAAGGAAATAAGAGGTGAGCTCTCAATGTATACACACACACACACACACACACACACACTCACACTCACACTCACACTCACACACACACACTGCAACACCTTTACCAAAAGTAGAACAAAGGTTTCCAGACATTATAAACACAACTTGTGTGACTCACTGTGTATCACATTCCTCACTAGATTGCAGATAGGTGTGGCCTGCAGAGCCCATGCATGTTTGTTTTTATGCAGTGTGTAAACCTGCACACATACATAATAATGCTGTATACCCACCACAATACACACAGCTAAGCCTTTACCAATGCTAAACATTTGTATTGCATATCCATATACAGTATTTACTCTACTGTACAATATTTAATTTAACATTTTCTTTATCTTAATCTCTTATTTGTATGTGTTTCTCTTATTCCTGCAACTTGCCTGCACTTTTATGTCTATTGGGCTATTTCATGTGATTTTATTTTTGTATCGTATGTTGCATTGCTGGAGGAGCCTGAGACTTAAGACTTCTTTTGCCAAAACGACAGTGTAGCTAAAATAATAATAAAGCCTTTAAATCATTGATTTTGACCTCTGTGACAAAGGACGGTATTTCTCAAATCACAAATACATGCGATTAACACAAGTATTCATAGCCAATCTCCTGAATAAGGCTTTTAACTCACAATTTATTTAAAAAAAGAAAATACTCGCGTTCCAAGTTGTTCTGAAAACTTCAGTCTCCCTTTGGTATTTACTTCTGTTATTGCAAATACACAGAGAAGCACCATATATGCTTGAGAGGGTGATATTTCAATACCACATGTTCTTCGGCAGACACTTGTAAGCTCTCTAAATTCTCCTCCTGGTTTCTGTTTTTAGCCAAGTTGAAACAAATGTGTAAAGGGAAACTAAAGACCTGCTTATACACGCTGTACGCTACGCTACGCTACGCTACGCTACGCTACGGGCTGTCTTGTCAGCATTTGTCTTTATCATGGCCTGAAAGCAACAGTAAAGAAACACAAGAGTGCGATTCCAGCCTGCTCAATTTAAAAGATCACAGTTAAACAATCTTAACATTTCTAATTGTAGCTAATGGTCACATGGCAGCACGTCTCCCCATGCCTCTGTAACCGTTGTAGTTTGATTTTACACAGGTTTGAAAGTTGAGGTCACACACTGTGGTCAAATGAAGAGGAAGTACCGTGTGTGCAACGTGACAAGACGACCTGCCAGCCACCAAACGTAAGAGCCTTCACTCATCACTTTATTCACCTTCATGTGTCAGCGTAGGACACATTGTGTGTGTGTGTACTTTTATCAAATAAAAAGTTGCAGAATTGTACAATATTTACAAATTATGCAACTTTAATCCTTTTTTTCTTTCCTTCACAGGTTCCCCTTACAACTTGAGAACGGCCAAGCCATGGAGTGTACCGTAGCTCAGTATTTCAAGCAGAAGTACAATCTGCAGCTCAAATATCCACATTTACCCTGCCTGCAAGTAGGACAGGAACAGAAGCACACCTACCTTCCCCTGGAGGTGAGAAACAGGCTGCTCTTAACTTTGTAGTCGACTTACACTTGTTCGTTGGCAAATTGATTTGTTCATTTATTTTATGAGGAGTTGAAGGAACGGCTATTATTCCATTTTACACATGCATTCATAAAAGTCTCACAACCACATACAAAACACAATAAAACAACACCGGGTGTAGCTCCAAGACCTCAGAGATAAAGGTGCTTTACGGAGACATCAAAATGAGTTATTGAGTTGTGGTTTATCAGTAATTCAATAAATCCACAGAGCAAGTTATACAAAATCTTATTGATTGTATGGTATCATATATATCTAATTAAAGTTGATTTAAGACATTTCAAATAATTGATATTAGGTGGGTTAATGAAATGTGTCTTCCTGCTCTCTAGGTCTGTAACATAGTAGCAGGCCAGCGATGTATCAAGAAACTGACAGACAACCAGACGTCCACCATGATCAAAGCTACAGCTCGCTCCGCCCCCGACAGACAAGAAGAGATCAGCCGACTGGTGAGTGGGATTTGAAGCTCTTTAAACTGAATAAAGGGAGAAATCAGCTTGTTTTGCATTTTGTCCTTATTCATTTGTCATTCCCATTTTCGTGTCATTCTTTTCCTCACCTCTCTTCTCGTTTTCCAGGTCAAAAGTAACAGCATGGTTGGGGGCCCAGACCCTTACCTGAAGGAATTTGGCATCGTGGTTCACAATGACATGACTGAGGTGACGGGGAGGGTCCTTCCTGCACCCATGCTGCAATACGGGGGCCGCGTCAGTACAGACACGGGGAGAGACTGCGGCAGGGTGAGTACCGGGGTGGGGCGGCACTGTTGGGGAGCTCGACTGACTGGGATTGGAAAGGGCCAGGGGGCATCAGGGTGAATGGTGGGGAAATGGGTGTGGGTCCAAGCTTGCAGAGGTCACTTGCAGAAAGAGTGGATCATTTATGATGTACACAATTCAGCAGCGCATTACTGAACAAAATGGAGAAAGATTAATATTAAAATACTTTATTTCGAAATTGAAATTGGCTATACCATTTACTAAATAATATAACTTCAAACAGTAGCGTTGCCAAGCGAGAGCAGAAGTGTTCATAAATGAAATATGAGATTTGAACTATGAATCCTACTGTTAATTGACTTGCTTTATATTCCAACTGAATTTGAGATGAAATTTGCCAAAACTTAGATTTTCACATCCTTCTCCATGGCAACAGCAGTGGAGGCTCATGGGTATTGTACTATTTAGTCGACCACCATGCCAATTTGTTGGACAAAACAGGATTTTTGTTTTTCAGAAAGGAACATTTAGAATAGGGGTCCATGACATAAACCTTTCTTGAGTCCTTTTTTCCTATGTGAAGTCAAATTGAGGATGTCATTAAAGGATATAGAATAAAGAAAAACACCTACAGGACCATCTTCTCCTCTGATTTCTCATCCACAACTCTAAATACAGTGTATGACTTCAGATGTTGACTAGATACAATATTCAACTTAAATATTTGCAGACCTGTAAAACCTTGAACTTGCGCATCGCTGCACTCTTTTCCCCACTTTTTTTAGCATTCGGTAGTGTCTGTCTGCAAGTGAAGGAATAGAGATGAGGAGCAAATCACTGCAAAGTGCTGAGGTTTATTCACTGAATGTGAAATCCGCCCTTCATGTAAACAAAAGACATAACTGAGCATTTGATCTAGACAAAAGAATGGGTGTGTTGAACAGAGACTCGTAGCTGTCCACTATTACATTTAAAACCTTTCCAAAAGACTCGTGTCAAAAGCCTGTTTGACTTAATATCCTATTTGAAAAGTCAAACAAAATACTAAAAGTGCTGGAATATAACCCCCCATTGAGAGGCAGCGGTAGATGATGCTGAGATGAGATGAAACTTTATTGCCGCCTGTGGGGAAAAATGGTCCAGACTTTTCCTTTTTTTCTTTCCAGTTTATTATCAAATCTACTTTCCCAGAATTACAGAATAACTTTGCTTTGGTAAAATCTAAAAGCTCCTATGTTCCAGTGCCAAGCTCAAATCCAGCTATTGGCTAATTTACCCAAGATCCTATCACAACGCTCTCTCTTGGCGACTTGCCTGCTGGGATATGGAGTCTAATCGGCTTCCAGTGAAATGCCTTTAAATGCTGACTGAGAGCCTTTTCCATTCCTGTGATCACTCGGTATGAATGAAATACATCTTTCATTTTCAAATGGCTTGCTGATGTTGGCAGACAAACAGTTCCATCAAAGTATTCTCATAAAAAAAAGAGTACTGCCTGAGGTGACTGTATGTGCAACATCTGAAGGAGCAGAAGCAGCAGTCTATTTCCTGTACTCTGAGAAGAAGTATTTTCTTTTTTCACAGTCTGTAATTTATTAGGTAGTTAGAAATCCTGCAACTTCAATCCTGCCGAAGATCTTCTGAAGACTATCTTGTAATGAGATGGAGAAGCTCTTAACTTTTATTGGCACACAACTCAAGTAGTTCATTGTGTTGCCTTGTTTCAGAGAATAAAAGCCCTTAATGGCCTTTGGCAAATCTTGTTAACTAAATTGAAATCCACTGCGCTCTCAATTTGTATTCACAACCACAGTGCAAGCAGGAGCACTCGCCTAATGACGCGTCTTCCAAGAGATGCATTACTCTGTTTGCTGCTCATGTCAGGACTCCTGAAGCTCTAACAACTGGACGCAATACAAACTATAATATCAGTGTCCAACCTAGACTCTATAAACCTGGAAACACACAAAATCATTACACAGTAAAAGCAGTTTGAAGCCTTTAAATGGGGTGTAATAGTTTGTTTGGTCGAGTTCTGTCTGTTTCTGCTGGGTGGGCTTTAATGCATTATGTTTGTCTGTTTATGAGATTGAACATAAACAGTAGTGGCTGTATTACCTGTTTTATCGGCTCAAATACCCGGTAGATTGACTAAGAGAGTAGGGACTCTCTCCGCAGAACAAAACCGTGGCCACGCCCAACCAGGGCGTGTGGGACATGAGGGGGAAGCAGTTCTACGCCGGCATTGAGATCAAGGTCTGGGCGGTGGCCTGCTTCGCGCCGCAGAAACAGTGTCGAGAGGACCTGCTAAAGTAAGTCAACTTTACATTTTATCATGAGGCTTGTGCAGATGTACTTAAGAAGGGATGGGGGGGGGGTCACAGAAGAAAGTAAATGCCAGCAGGGTCTTTGTACCATACATGATTTCCTTTTAATCCACGCGAGCGGCATGGATTTATGGATGTCTTTTGGTTACATGGTTCACCACTTTGGTCCAGACTTAAATATTTTCATCAACTATTGGCAAACACTGATGACGGATGATGTGTGACATCGACTATGACATTAATTAACACATTTATACCCGCTATATTGAATGTGATTTAGATGTTCTCTCTCTTATTCTGCTGATTTCTGATGAGTATGTTACACCTTTCAACAGGAGCTTCACTGACCAGCTGCGAAAGATCTCAAAGGATGCTGGGATGCCCATTCAAGGCCAGCCGTGTTTCTGTAAATACGCCCAAGGAGCTGACAGCGTGGAGCCCATGTTCAAACACCTCAAGATGTCTTACGTTGGTCTGCAGCTGATTGTGGTCATCCTGCCCGGCAAAACGCCAGTCTATGGTGAGCTTTTAACTTTAGTAAATGAGGAAAAGTAAAAGCAGTTTCAGATATTAAGAGGGTCTCGTATGTTGAAATGCAATTTTTGATTCTACAAGAAATGATTCCGTTTTTGAACAAAAAGTGTGATATGGATTATCTCTGTTTTTGTCTCCAGCTGAGGTAAAGCGGGTGGGTGACACTCTGCTTGGAATGGCGACCCAGTGTGTGCAGGTGAAGAACGTGGTGAAGACCTCCCCTCAGACCCTCTCCAACCTCTGCCTCAAGATCAACGCCAAGCTGGGGGGCATCAACAACGTCCTGGTGCCTCACCAGAGGTCAGAACAGATTTTATTATTATAGATTCTTTGATGCAGTCCAAATTGGAATCTGCCATGCTTCTTGGCTTTGAATGTTCAGAATCAGAATACCTTTATCTGGCCAACAAAAAGAGGACATTTACATTGCTTAGACCCTCCAGAAAAACGCGGGCAAAAATCCTTGATTATGCGATTAAACATGCAGGGTTTTATGTGATTTTATGCGGTGAAATTGCGGGAAGTTAGGAAATATGCGGAAAGTTGCTAAATATGCGGGGGAAAAGAATAACAATTTGTTTTAAATATTGGGCTGTCTTATTTATTCTCTCTCACACACAACCTGCCACTAACGTTAAACCCCTTTACTATTCAATTAAACACATTCAATGTTTATTTATTGTAAAAGCAATTGGGCTATTTTAATCTCCCCCCCCCCCCCCCCCACACACACACACACACACACTTCTCCGCCTCATTCTGTTTTCATTTACTCGTTCGTTATCTGACCAGCTTCAATCTTGTAGGCTACTCACTTCGTTTCTTGTAGCCCTCGAAAGGGTTTTGGAGGTTGATCCCTCGGTGAACGGGAGTTGAATGGCTTTCTTGTCCGCAGCAGCAGAAAGCATTTTGGTGTAGTCGTAGTCCAGGGTGAACGGGAGTTGAATGGTTCTTGTCGGCAGCGCAGAAAGCATCTTTCGAATGTTTGAAATGAATCAAAGTGGGCGCCCACGTCGAATTTCTCTTTAAGTCGCTGCAGGATTCCCACAGTCTGAGCGACACCTGAGTGTGGCAAATAGTTTCCCCCCACTTCTTTGCGCCGGGGTCTCTTGTGTTAAGTAGAAATGTTCGTTGGTAAATATGAGGTTTTCGCTCTTAGGGTAGTATACAGTGGTTGTGTGTTGAGTTCTCTGTGCCATGCGCGAGCGCGTAATGTAGGACATCGGTACTCAAGAGCCGCGTTGTTAACTTTTTGTGTTGTGCTCTCTACCGTTGGAGATGGGTGTTGTGGGGTTTGTTTCCTGTTAGGTGTAAGGGACCAAGACGGATGGTTGTTCATAGACAGTGGGGGCGTCAATGGGTAGGGTGCGGCCGCTTACCCGGGAGGTCGGGGTCAGGACCGGCCAACAGCTGATTGCTAGGTGCCGCGAGAATGCGCTGGTGCAACATAATTATGGGTTAGTTATAAAATGTGGGGGGATATGCGCCTTTTCATAATATGCTGGGCGTATGTGTATTAGATCTGCGCCTTTGCTGTCTTGTTTTGTAGAGATGCTCTTACCAAGGGTCATGTTGCTGCCGCGATCGTTACGTGTATTTCATGGAGGGTCTAATTGTTACAGCGTGGGATAGTCATAAGATAGCCATGAAAAGGTATAGCGTGTATACTATCAATTAGAATAGGATACAATGTCGTTAAAATATTAAGACTATAGAGAGATGTGAGTAGGGTATGTAGAGTTACAGAAATAATATTTGACGACTGTTAGTGATAATATAGAACACAATAGCCGGAGGAGTGTGGTTGCAATACCTCGACAGTGGTGTGTAGTCGTTAACTACATAAGGGAGAGTGCCAG